TTAGTCAGCGCATCGCCCGGCCCAGATATCCCGAACGTGTGGCAGTTGGGGGTTGTCTGCACATCCTTCTGCGATCACCAGCAGAACAATAGTGGCACGCGCACGTGGGCCGTACCCGTGACCACGAGGTGCTAGGCAATGCTGATGCAGCATTTGCAGCTCAACTCTGCCAGGTCCTGGCAGAGAACGGCAGGCTTTTCGCCCTAGAGAGTAGTGCCCCAAGGGGGGAGCTTTGATGGGACCATCGCGTCCTCCAGCTGGCTTCTGTTAAGGGCTTCTTCCCAGCTTTCGACCTGGAGCAGGGTCATGAGGTTGGAGCAACCTCATATGCCCTCTATGGATGGTTGTGAACACCAAGGTTCCTGGTTCGGCCCCGGCTCCGTGAAGCAGGTCTGCCTCCAACTTGCCGAAATATGAAATCCTCAGCACCACCAGGGTGACTCCGTCTAGGAACCCTCCTGACAAAGTTTGCAGCGATCTGTAGTCCTTTTCGCGGTGAGGGTAAACGCAATCGTGTACGTTTTGCCTGAGGAAATGTTCGGTTTCTGGGATCCAAGCGGGTGGGTCACCCAAATGGGCTTGTGCCTCGACCGCTTCCATCCATAGCTGATGTCGAAGGTGGGCTCCTCCAGCACGTTCTGGTGCCCTTCTTTGACCAGTCTCCTCCATCTGGCCATGCGGCTCAATTCTTCAGGGGTCTGCTCCTCCTCGGTGGGTTCAACCTCAACCTCGGTCTCCTGACCGGGAAGCTCAAGCCACGTTGGATCTGGGCCTTTAACGGCTTCAGCCAAGTCCTTCTCCAGGTACAACCCACTGCGTGCTTCCCGCTCTCTCCTCCCGAGCCCTTTCTTCCTCGCTGGCTTCATCCTTCCCCGTCTTGGCCTTGACCTTTGGCTTGGGCTTTGGCTTCGGCTTGGGGTCTTGCTTCTTCTCATCCCGATCGGCCTGGGCCTGCGACCTAAGCTGAGCTACCCTTCCGTCGACTTCCTTTGGGTCGATTCGTTGGCTTCCCTTCAGTCCGCCGCGGCGGATGACTTGCATTGCCACTGAGTAGTCGAGTTTGGCCAAGCCAGGCAGAGGTTCATGTGCATGAGGGCATGTACTTGCTTCCCTTCTGGCACCCCATGTGTGTTGCTGCATCCCAACAGATCGGCTTCACTGGGCCAGCTGCTTTCTTAGCCTTCAGGTTCTGGTCGTGAAGTTGCTTATTATGCAACATCCGAGACATCTGGCGCTGTTGTCTGGGGACCACTACTGTCTGGTAGTAACCCTCCGAATCGGAGAGGTCAAAGACATTGGGGAAGCTGAAGTTGGGAGTACCGTCCGGTCCCGGAGCTAATGCGACTGGCTTGAGGTCTTCCAACCGTGGGTTTATAGGAGAGCACAGAGTTTCCGCCGTGACTCTCTTCTTCACACCATGCTGCTACCAACTCTTCGAATAGATCGATGCAGTGCTTGGCTGGGAACGCATGTTCATCTTCCTCATGTGCCTCCTTAATGGAGTTCAGGCAGTCCTGCCTTTCTTGCATATGTTCAAGGCCATAGCAGGCGCCGAAAACTCGGATCGAGTTCTCGGCATACCTCAACCACGTGTTAAAGACCCCTGGGGGTTTGACCCTTGGTTCAGCTTTGTGGTCTGAGGAAGGCACCCAACTGTCCATCTGTTCAGATCGGGCGGTGACGCAGTCACTAGCGTGGAGCGTATACCCGTCTGTCCCGCCCCACCAGAACCCGGCCACGCCGAGCAACACACGATTGGTCATCAAAACCGGCCACTTGATGAGGTGGAGCATATGGCGTGCGTGTTGCGCAATTCTCTTCCCAGCATGGAAAAGTTCTTTCCCATAGACTCCATCGGCAAGCTCCACAGTCAAAGTTCCGCATCCTCGAGCCAAGAAAATCCTTCCTTGACGGATGTCAAGAGTCCCTTTTGGAGCCCCTTGTCCTCGTCATGTGACTTTCGCAGCCCGTCAATGGCATGAATGATCCTGTCTGCGTTTTGGGTCTGAGTCCCATCTCCAAGGGCCTCTGCAAAGGTGGCTCCAGCTTTGTCCTCCTGGATTAGGATAGCGCCAGCCGGTTTGATCAACCCGCTCCCGCTGGACTTCCCCTTTCGGAAGAGGGCAGGCATAGCTTGGGACGTTGCAGCAGGGCCCTTCGCGAGGAGGGGGTTCTTTGGCTTAGCAAGCGCTGGGGAAACCAACTTGGCTGGGGTCGTCTCATCGGGGGGAAATACCCAAGATTCCACACCTGAGGCAAGCTTGGAATATGTCCCCAGACCGGGTGGAACACCTGGATCAGAGGGGGCTCCGTATCGCTGCGCCAGGTGTTCAGGGTCGACCTCAAAAGCCGCGCCAATGGTATGAATGGCTTCTTTGCTCGGCACTCCAGGTCCCAAATTTTTCAAGGTTGCCACTGCGGCCGACATCACGTCCTCTTGATCCTCCTCCTGCTCGGCAACTGGGAAGCTTGGCAGTGGGGGGAGAGCTTCAGTTTTCTCTGAGCTAGTCACAGGCCGTGGGGGTGTTTGGAACTCGTTGGATTTCAGTTCCGGCTCTGGCCCCTGTTTGAGATACGCGTCAGCGTGAGGTAAGATCTCTCTCTGCCCGTCTTCTCCAACTCTCTGGCGTAGGGTCTCTGACAGGATACCTTACCCGTCTGTGAATTTCCCTTCCCATTCTCCCAAGGCATCCGCCTGATGAGGTTGGAGCCTGCTGACTGCCATTGAGAGGCCTTGCCCTACAAGGTGGTCATGGGATCCATAGAGAAAATTTGAAATCCATTGGCGACTGAACCTTCCCGACGCATCCTCAGCTGGAGCAGCCTGAAGGGCACTGGTGGACCACTCCAATAAAGACATCCACCTTTTCCTTGCGCGCGGCTGTCAGCCGAGACTCCTTGGAGACTACCAAAATATGCCACCCACCGGGGGGGGCCTCCAGGTTCCTGACAAGACCTGAAGCGGAGCAGTACCAAGACTGGGCCCTGCTGGAGGGACCCCTCAAGTTGATGTTGTTGGCTGGATTGAGGTCCCGCTGAAGCGGCGCGCGCTCTGTTGGGAGTGCCTCTCTCTTGATTTCTTGAACGGGGAGGTCGAGCCGGAGGTTTGTCAAGCTGTTCCCCTTCTGGGTTTTGGTGCACGACGTCGGAGTCCCGGTGTGGCGTCCTAGGCGTGCTATCATCCGGCCCCTCGCTCCAGCTGATTCTGCGGGTAGGGCGGGCGGAAGAGCCGATTTCCATCAAGTGTTTTCTACAAAGGGGAACCCCTTGTTTAGCCCCATTCACTTGCTCATGGCAAGAAAGAACGCTACATTTCCGTCCGGAGCAAGCCGCAATGTACAGCTGTCGGTGGTGGTCACAAAGACGGGCATGAGTGCATCGATTAGAGATGTCGGACAATTCACGGTCCCTTTCTAACAGCCGGACTCCCTCCCCAGTCGCCTTGTCGGCGCAGGGGTCTACTGCCAAAGCTCGAGGTCTGCCCCCAACTTCGAGCCCGATTAGGACCGCCTCGCACGGGTCTTCGAGAGTCTCCATCTCGGATTCGGAGTCAGGGTCGAGAGCTCTCACGTTTGTTCCTTCCCGAATGACTCTAGCTGGGGCTGGTCGCTTCCAGGCACGCTTCAGGAGAAAGAAACCTGATCCGTAATAGATGAGCGCATGCAAACCACTGAGCAATCGTCTCAAACATCTTCCGAACAACACTACCGGACGCAGGCCCCAAGATCGACCAGACCATTCGCGTCCACCACTGCATAAGTCTTGCAATGGATCCCAGAGGTGGGCATGAGCTCCAATGGGCAAGTCTGTTCGCGGCACAAGTGCACTTTGCTTTCCGTCTCTAGACTGTGACAAATTGGCCTGCAAGTAGCTCCTTTCACTTCCCGGATTTTCACCCTCAGACCATGTCGGTCTACTCGAGCCCAGCGGTCTCCGTCAGGCTTGATCCTCGCAATCTGTTCGTCCAAAGAGACCACTAAGTCATTTGGTTTTCTTTCAGATCCTCTGCCTTTAACTCCTCGTTGGAAGAACTCGGAGTCGACCCCACTCTGAGTGGATGGACCCCTGAAGGCTAGGGATTCATAGGTTCCACGAACCCTCAATTCAGGGAGGAACTCCCCAACCTCGGTTGCCACCGCACGAGTTTGCCTGCAGCAGCAGGTCAACAGCGTCCGGACCGGACGGCATACCGAGACGGCCACATAGAGGATGAGCAAGGAGATGACCGTTCCAAGCACGATGAGCACTCCCCATCCAACCCAAGGCCAGAAATCGCCGCAGGCTAACACGCGGATTTTATCTAAGGCATATAGCCCCACCCGCCTGTGGAACTCAAACTCCCAGCTTGCCCCGGGCCGGGGTACTAAGCCATGCGGGCCCTATATCCAGGAGTAGAGGTCGAAGCGGAATTCGGAGACGCCCCAAAAGTATGCGTGCCCTTGCAGCGTTTCAGTTGCGCCTGGACCAGGCAACGGTTCATCTTCCCCCCCCCCGAAACTGAGGCTTAGGCGAGGGAACCTCGCTCTTTTCCACCACCATTTCAGTTGAGAAGAACCATTCCCACGGCCCCTCCAAAGCTGCGAGTGGCCCCACGCTGATCGAAAGCAGCGCGACAAGCCATGGCGCGCTGGGCATTGTGACACCTTGTCCTTTACCTAAAGTGGTAGGAAGGCATCAAAATTCTTGAGCCAGAAGTGAAGCCAAATTCCACTAACCCTACATTCTACCGAAAAACCGATTAAAGATATGATGTTCCTCTGCTATCATCCCACCAACACCCTGGATTCAGAGTCAAACATCTGGATTCAGAGTACCAAAAGGTCATCCACAGCACATCCTGGATCTACTAGTAACAAGTGCAGTAGCAGTATAGTAACTAAGTGCATGACTACTAATTTGTAGCTTGGCAAGAAGCTATACCAGTAACAAGTGCATCGCTACATCCCTCCGCCTTCTTCACCCAAACCCTGCCCCTTACGGTTGACCATCCGTCGAGCGTCATCTCCGCTTCAGCTCCCCAAGCGTCACCTGGTCGTGACTGCTGTGCGCTCCCAGACGGGTGAAAGGTGAACCAACTCTCTGCCCCTACCTTGTTGGCCAACCTCAAACGAAAGCATACAGTGAGTTTCCAACCTTTGTTGAATGTCTTTTTGGTGGGATTTTGAGGAAAAAGTCCACCCCTGGCCCCTGGTATATAAACAGGTTTCCAGATCACAGCTTCGCCGCATCACAAGATCAAAAGGAATGAGGAAACAGATTGCGTAGCCATCCACTGTTGGTTACTAAGTGTTTCTTTGTCTTCAGTGTCCACATGGTAGCTCGAAGACACCACTTTGGAACACTGGTCCAAAAGCAATGATGCTAGTGATGCTCCATATAGCCTCTTGATGTTTTAGCATTTACTGAATTGTAACCCGCACCAATTATTGAAGCATGAACTGGAAGTTTGGCGTTGTCATGGCTTCGCTTGTTCGTCACAAAGGATCATTGATGCTAGTGATGCTGCTTTAGCCTTTTGCTTCTCTAGCATGTTTAAATACAAACTTGCACACATCGAAGCATGAACCCGGAGTTGAGGGGTTCATGCTTCAGCTTGGTCATCGCACAACAGCAATAGTGTTAGTGATGCTGCTTTGGTCAGTTGCTCATATCTTGCCGTTTTCGCTCCTCTCATTGCTCGGATCTCCACCCAACTGTGTTGTGGCCTTCCTTCGAAGAAAAGTGTCGTGTATTTGTACACGTGGCGTTCGAAATCTGGCTTGGGCGCGCTCAACTGGTCTTTTGCGGCGCTTGCGGTAAGTTCAAGGTGGTCCTGGAGGACAAGCTGCTACTCGTTAGGCTTTGTAAAGACTGAAGGTACAACGTTATGGTTCAGAAGCCTTTCAGAACATAAACCGCTAGATGGTGTCACTCAGACCAAAGCAAACATGGCCTGGTGCTGCTCCGGCACCGCACAAATCACAAGTCCCAAATATGTAAGACCTCAACATTTGGAAGGCACCTCTTGGCCCCTCAAGAATGAGGATGGGATGAATGCACAATAGCAATCTGCATAGCAGCACCAGTCCCGTCGTCCAGTCCCCCCAGCTAATAACACAAAAACCAGCCACCGTGTCCAGTTTCACCATGTTATTTTTCCTGGGAGTCAAAGACGATTAAAAAGAATGGTCTGACAAACGGTGCCCCCGGATTTCAGGCATGTCCAGGACCCGGAACCGTCGGTCCAGTCGTGTCCGAGTTGGACGGAACCGTCGTAGTATTAGCTGCGACTGAGTTGCTCCCTGAGGTTCCTCCAGCAGTACCAGCCCTTCTTTCAAGAGCTCCGCTCCGTAAGGGACACAATGCACCGGCACCTCCATCGCCGTTGAGTGGCGACATGCCGTGACATATGAAGGGAACCAAAAGACACATGGAACAAATCGATACACACCAACAAAAACTTCAGAAAAGGGCCCCCTACCTGACTACCTGGACTCAATCTTGTATCAAGTTTCAGGTCCTCAACGGACCTCACAAGATGTGCTCTTGGAATCGGATCCCAAAACGACTCCAACTAACTCGCCCTCCTATCCATCCACAGCCAAAGCCTCCCTGCCACTTCCAGCCGCCTATTTGTTGGGGCCAAAAGATCGAAGATCTCACGTGCTACTGGGCTACGCGTCGAGTGACGAAGTCCGCACAAAAAGACTCGGATCCGGGAATATATTAAGGGATTCTGCCCTTTTCTTTGTGAAGGGTTGCTTATTGGCACTGACAACTGGATTCCGAGATAGTTCTGGATTCTGCGAAGGAAATATATACATGACTATACATCCTGGAGAGTCTGTAAAGAGAAGATCCCTTTTTGTTTTTTCCACGTGTCTATCCTCAATTTCTACACCCAAACTCTTCCAATCCTCCACCGAAACGTCCACTGCAACGCGAAACCTCTCATGAAACCGGCTCATGTCCACAAACGAAGCATGTCCTCCAAGTATACCAATACGCTGCATTTCAAGGTGAATCTGATTGTCCCCCAAAGCAACCAGTTCTCGGCTATCCAAGGCCCAGTCATTGACTGCACCCGACTGCACCAATTGAATGTCTGGTCTTCTGGTAAAACCCTTCTTCAACCTGCCTCTCTGCCAGCAAAACAGCCTAACACCACCTGCCCTCATCATCTGCACACTCCACACTCACCAACCCACGCGCGTACCGCGCCGCTTCGCGTACCGCTTCGCGTACCGCTTCGCGTACCGCCACGAACCGCCACGCACCGCTTTGCACCCCGAAGAGGATCAGCTTCTCCCAGGCCCATCGGGCATTGAGCACCGACAAGAGCCGCAAGGCCGCGAACTCCTCGGCCGCGTAGCGATCGGCCGACAGCATAGCTCGTGCACCGCCGCAAGTTGGTGTGATGGGTCTTGATGATTTGAGCAATGATGATATAGTAATATAGCGATATAGTGCGTCTTGCTAAAACAAAACACTCTGGTATGTGGACTTTGTTCAACGTTTGGACTGGTCATTCATGCGCTGTTTGACACATAGTTTGCAGTCGGATGGTCGGATCTGATTGGGCCTGCATGTGGATGCTGAGATAAGCTGAGAGAAGGGTATTGAGCTGGGTATGGATATATACTATAAGACATCATCGTACGGATCTAGCCTCCTCGCCCTTGGAATCCAACGATACGACCCTTGGACGCGGTGGCGCGGTATGGAAAGGGAGTCCAAGCCTTTGGGTTCTTTTTTTCCGTACACAGTGACAGGCGGTCTTTGAAAAGACACGATGAACCATGTGCCCCCCGGAGCGGCTCAATGAACTGAGTGCACATCATACTCCCGTTGTGTACCGCAAACATCAGGTCATAATCATGTACACAACGGTGGAGGCATCTCGAAGCTTCGACGATGACGTGTCCGGTGTGTCTTTTGCCGATGCCCCGACGACGCACGCAGTCCTCTCCAGTGTCTTGGTAGAGCACTTTGCAGTGCAACCTCAGCCGAAAGAGTCAAATCTAATAACCCGTTTCGGGTTCTCTCCCAGCACCCGTGTTGCCGATGCCAGGTACCAATACTGTATATTATATACCTAAGACTCTAATGAATATCCCTCCGCATGTCGCTTCTTAAACCTCTTCAATTCCTGGGATTGATGGCCTGGGGGGCTTGTGGATTCGATTCATAAAGCAGTCATGGCTTCATGGATTCGATTTCATACAGCCTTTTCCCAGAGTCCTCTGTCAAACCCGGCACCCGTCGGACGGTATCAAACAGATCGACTCGGCGAACACGTCGTAACACACGGGGAGAAAAAGGGACCTCCACCAATCATATGGCCTTCATGGACCCCACAAAGAATGAGCCTTTTGGTCTGGCATCTTGTCAAAAGCGCTTGCCCATATGAATAGCAGCACGAAAAACGAAAAATAACGCACCATGCTTTGGGCCCAGGGCTGGAGATTTGAATCTTCGTGTGAGTGCGAACTGCTTCTCTTGACACATTGCCAAGTGATCCCCTATCCTCACATATGGATGTGAGATGATGTGTCATGCCCAAACACTAAGGCCTTCAAACGGATTCTTCCACCGAATGTCAGGGGGGTCCATGAAACATGTCAGGTGGGTTCAAAGCATCCATCGTTGCCTTCGAGTCCAACTTGCGCGTCCATCCGACTCGACTCGACGAGAGGTCGAGGACGACTCCGCGGCCATGGACTCGGGATGACTCCTTGTTTGTCCAATTAGTCGACCCAATTGAAAGCCGTACAAAGTGTGATCGAAATACATCAATTTGCTATATACAAATTGTCTACATGATAAGATGATTCAACATACATGAACTTTGAAGATTTCATCAAATAGAACCTTTTGATCTTGATCACCAACCTGCCGCGACCACCGGCGCTTACCGCCGCGGCACGTGGGCACTGCGCCCGGTCGCCGGTGAGCGCTACGCGCTCCACTGGGAGCGCGATCCGTGGGCCTCAGGCTCCACATGTATTGCGTGTATCCTATATCTTGGGTCTATCCAAAAACCTCCAGTGTCTTCCATCGTTACACTTATTTGTGCTCCCAGGGGTTTTGGATACACAAACCTTGGGTCTATCCTAATACCTGTAACCGTGGATGATGATGGTTAGTACGGTTAGTAGAGGCCTTGTCCAAAAGTAGTGATAATTGTATATACTGATCAGCTGACTGTTACAGGTAATAGGACAGACCCAACCTATATCCTCTTCCCGGTTACAGTGGTTGACGATGGTTCAGTTGCAGGCCTTGTTCTACAATAGTTGTTTACTGCAAGCAAATCACTATTTTAGAACAAGGCCTGCAACTGAACCATCGTCATCCACTGTTACAGGGAATAGAATACACTCAAAAGTACTTTCCATAATTTCGTACTTGACAGAGCCATCCAATTAGGGGTCACCTGGCTGTATCCTTCACTGCTAGACTAAGTTGTACTGGAGATCTTTTTGGACCGTTTAAATGGTAGGATGGCGGTGATCTGACATCTTATGAAAACTACTTCCGTGGTTTGTTCTAGGAAGGCGACTATACATACACCATGTTGCTATGTGGGTAGACTGTGGCCAGCACACGCGTTTGAACAAACACAATTTGTGGGTTTACAGCCGGAAAGATCGATTGAACCATGTCCAAATATATTTGGCGCCAAAACAAGATTGAACAAATCACACAAACACACAAAACAAAAAGATCTGAGTGAAGGTGGCTGTCAAACGTTTTCACATATGTTCACAAGTATTGTCCCGGAAGGTTACTGCTATGGTTCTCGCTGTTGGGGTACCCAGGCGCCATCAAATCTCCCACACAGCAAGACCTTAGCTGCAGACGCAGGCGGCACTGTCTCCCCTTCATCGGGCCAGAGGCGCAAGCGCACCGCAGAGCTGTTCCTCGCGAGACTGATGTCGCGAGACTGAGAAAGTCAGTGGTCGTCCAATGGTTGGTGGTCGTCCAAGCTCCATGGCTCTTTGGGCAATGCTTTTTCCACAAAAAGACCATGGGCCGATCATGGCTTCATGGGCTTAGCTGGCCTTCAGGCAACATATATAGAAGGTGGATCACTGCTCCAATCACTTGCGGAAAAAAAGGTTCTCAGTTCACTGCTCCAATGTTTTTCTTCACTTCACTGCTGTAAATCATGTGCCTCTTGAACTGCATCGGTGAAGCTTACCGACTCCTGAAAGCTCGTGAAAGAGTCCACTACGTTTTTGCGCATCCTCCGATCCTCCGATCCTCCACTGAACAAACATGTCCCGGAGCTTGTGGATAGGTGTTCCAGTCGCACATGCCGTCACATACCCCTAATGCCCCACATACCTTTTCCACAAAAAGACATGGGCCGATCATGGCTTCTGGGCTTGGCCACAGACTCCCACAGAATGGCTTTCGGGCATTCCAGAAGGGGCAGTCACAGCTCCAATCATTTGCAAAAAACTGTTCTTGTCTATTGAACTGCATCGGTGAAGCTCACTGACTCCTCGCTCGTAAAGAATCATCCACTACGTTCTTGCGCATCCTTCTTGCTGCACTGAACAATCATGTCCAGTTTGTGGACTGGTGTTACCGTGCACATGCCCATAATGCCCCTCTTGCATGGAAGGGTTCTGGGTACAAACATGTAAATTGAAAGATGTGTTTTCTCGTTCTGATGAATAATACTTCCAACAACACGATCAAAACACGCAACCACCAGAACTACCATGAACTACCACACCTAGAGCTACAACTGCAACAGCAGCAACTGCAACTCCATCTCCGTCTGGCCGAACACTCGGCCTCTCTGTGACCCGAAGATTGCGCAAAGGTGGCCAGCCTGATGCAAAACAAGTGGGGCTCTGGAAAGTGTGTTGTCGAGTTTATCTGCCGCACCAGCTCGTCTTGATTGCCATCTGAATCTAAACTATGTTCGCCGCTGGACCTCGGTTTTGGAATTTGTGCTCCATGTGTTTTACTCGCTCTTCGCGCTCCTCTCCTCCGCGTCACCGGCTTTTCCCGAGTGCCTCTTTGAGCCCTACACGTGACCATACGTGACCGGCTTTGGACTACGCGTGAGTCACATGGTGATTAATCTTGGGCCCAAGAACCTGGAGAACCCATCGATGCGTCAACGACTGGGTCCCAAGTCCTGCTTTGCGCGACAAACCGATACGGTTTTTGTTGGGGGTTCAAACAGCTGCAACGCCCTTTCCAGATTGCCTAAGAAGATGGAGTAAAATTTTCTGCATGGTTCCCAGACGTACTTGAGCCCTGCACGCGTGCCATCACGCAACAATCGTATAGAGATCCTTCGTGTCTGGCACCGTCAATGGGGTGTCTGACAGCTGCGTTCCATCCGACGGACCGATATGGACCGATCCACCGATCCACGACCGGCATGACTCCTGGCATGACCAGTATCTCAGTAACTACTTGGTCTAATTTAAATATATGTTATAGTCGTGAAAAAAACATGTGAAGAGACAAATGGGGGGAAAAAAACAAACACTGCCACCTTCCTTCATCTTGCCCCTTATATATATATATATATATGTATGCTTGCATGGGGAGATGACACAACCCAGCGAGCGGGGCATCCGTCGCCGTCGCCTGCTACATGGATGGGCCTGCCCAAACGGAGCACCTGCGAGCGGAGCGACAGGAGCACCACAAGGCACAAAAAAAGGTGCAACGGATTTGTGAACGCACATGATGCACGGATTTGTGACCCAAGATTCTGTCGCATTATTCTTTTTCTTGAGAAGAGGAACGGAAAGGGATTGGATAGGCTTGACTATAATATATAGCTTGGTTGGTTAATGGTGGCTCATACATCTGATACTGTATGAACCCTTCATCTGCAATGCCGACTGGGTCTCTAAAAGCACTCCCTGGCCTCCTGGACTGTGTCCGGTCGAACCTTTCGATCTTTGGTCAGATCTTGTAATGGCACAAATTACCAATGGTCGTCAACCGGCGCCTTTATGGCGCCCTGATAATTAAAAACAAAACATGATGGTCGTTGGACGAAAGGTGACGCACCAAACGCCAAAAAAACACACTGCCCCTTTTTGGCAGAACAACCCGTTGTCGTGCCAGACCAAGGCAGAAGCCGTTGCTGGACGTCGCTTCGCTGAGTGTGGCAAAACAGGCAGAAGCCGCGCGGCAAAAAAAGGCGTGTTCAACCGTCGGATGCTAAGTTTGCCACTTCATGTCTTGGGGGTTCAAGTGCCAAGTTTGCAAAGTACTGGGAACCCTCACTCTGCCCAAACTCGGGCACCACCCGGCTGAAACCGGTCGAAACCGCCCGAGCATTGGTCCGCGCCTGTCCCACGCGCGGCTTGCGGAGCGCGAGGAGCAACTCCTCTTGGCCCTGCAAGGTCATCGATCAAATCCGGTCGGATGGCCCTGCTGCATGAGGGAAATCCGAAGAACCTCTTTGAAGCCCCCCAAGATGACCTACTTAAGATCGTAGGAAAGAAGTGACACTCTGACGAACACATCACATGTTTTTTTAACCATCCCTCTGTTGGTAGAGGAACATCGTCTTCCAAGGGACCATGTTCATCCATGTTCCACGTAACCATGTGATGTGTTCGTCGCAGATGATTTCTTCGTCGACTCACGGCGACGGCGACAGCAGGTCGACGCACCGTCTGCAGCGCCTCCGGATCGGTCGAAAGTGATGATGCATCCACATCCATGGCAGCAGCATGAGGACAAATGGGTGCCCTTCTTAGCTATAAAGACTATTGATGGGACGGTGGGTCCAAACCCAGGCACCCTGGTTGACCCCTGAAACCTCAACAGAAAGGGGTGTCGACCTAAGATGGTTTGCTGCAGGAGGTGTTTACTCACGACCATGTGCTCACAAAGGCACTTGAAACACCAAGTGTCCAACTTTAGAGCTGTAGCGCTCCGATGAGTGAACATGTGATGGCACAATGTGAACGACTGCTCTTGGCTTGCCATCTGTATTTATATTAAATAAACATATGGAGAAGGTGATCTGAACAATGTCTGCACTATCCTCAAGGTACAGACAGTGTAATGCCTAAAGTACTATCCGAAATGGCAGGATGCGGGCAACGAGCGCCATCGTGAACTCACGGCTTCTGCGGTACAATCAGTACAGTCAGCGGGTACTTATGTAGAATGCAGCTTGTTGGAGCAGGGTGTGAGACAAGCAGTTTGAAGTCCTTCTCAGACTGGACTACTTGTTTGGACCCAAGCTGAAAGCTGAGCCAGGCCAGGCCTCTTCAATGCGATGGCGAACGAGCAAGCGTTTGTTCTTCCACCGCTGACAGTGTAAGAGTCCACAAACACAGTGGGCTTGGACGAGGGAGGGTCCTTCCAACCGGTGCTGATGTCTTGATCTACTGTCCTTTTCGCACGTCGTCATTCGGGGCACTTAGACTTCATCTTTCAACACACGGTCATGAGTGTGGGCAGTCCAAGAAGGATGACATTATATCAAGGCCTGGTTGATCAATCATGATGTCTATCTTCTTCCTTCCCGTCCCACCACCATGCATGCACGTGTGGTCGAATCATATTCCTGGGCATGGTGGCATGATCACTCCCATCCCAAACATGTTACCAACAACTTTTCGGGGAGCTTTCATACAGTGCAAGGATCCGTCAAAAACAACAAACAATACCTCTCGATTGAGTGGACCCTTCTGGGCATGGGCTGGCCTTGGATCCCTCAAATGACAAAAAAAAAGATCTTCTTACCTCCACACGTCCTTCTGCAAACAATTACTATATATTAAATGAAAACACCCTTCCAGCATGGTTTTACATCTCCATTTTGTTTTGGGGGGGGAGCACAAGCTTTACTAATTAATGAATAAAACAAGTGTACCTGATATGTTTACAGAGTTGGCATGGAACAGCTCCATGAAGAATCTCAGGCTTTTCGTTCAGACTTTGTCATCCAGAATTATACCCTGGGGCTCCTGGCCTACCTCCTGAGAAGGTGCTTGGGGTGGGTGCCAGGGGGGTTCCAACTACCTTCTGAGGATGTGGGCCAGAAGCCTTAGGGAGAAATGCTTAGGGGTGTTTACATCTGAAACAATGACATTCAGAAGTAGTGACTCCAACTGTGGCGCTTGAAAAAATAAAAACAAAAACACAAACATCGAAGGTACATGTCTCCCATGCCAGGCTGCACCGTGCATGCCTTGAAGACTGGTACATTGAGACTGGAACCCTCAAGAAAGCTCATCACATGAGACTTGTTCTACTAATAAGAACGAACGCGACAATGGTGTTTTTTTTTCTGTTCCGTAGCGAGAGCAGTTCAGAGTTCACATCTTGTTAGTCGTTCATCATCTTTCTAGGGCTTCCGGGCTTCCCGTCACCCTTCGACTGCCCAGGATGGGACCGCTCCGCCTCCTTCAAAACGGATCTGGCTGAGCATTCCAACCTTACCGGATCTGGCTGTGCCACCGAGGATCTATTGCCCGTGGATGATCGTGAGAGAGTGACGTGAACATGATGAAAAACACTAGTCTGAGCCGCATCCTTGTGGCGTGAATATAGAGGAATTTGTATGCTTGTAAACTTAGCCGCGTCGTTGCTACAAAGACCTTGAGAAACCTTTTTGGTGTGATTTCAAGATATTTAAAGACCACTTTAAAGACCATATATGAGGCTATTGCGTGGGTTCCCCAAACCCTCGAAACCTCGTCTGCGAGTGGAGAGTATTCTAGGAAATTCAGGTGCTGCACCTCCTGCTAACCTCCTTCATCCTGGGAAACCCAACGAACTGCAGTTCTAAGATAGATCTAAGATGATCTAAGCATCCTGTTTATGTGGTAATTATACAGTAAGTATAAGGAAGATGAATAAACCTAGAGCTACAGTCCCTCATACCTGACCAGGTTTTCGACTTGTGCAGCACAATCCTGGGGACACTCCCAAAGCTCCTCGTTTCGCAGCCGAAGACGCGGCGCCCTCCCCGCGGCCGGAGGTCGAACATGACGTCGCAGCCCTTGAGCAACCCGAGGCGTTTGGATTCATCAAAGCAGCGGGAAGAACGATGAAGCCATGAAGAAGCGACATCTGTGACTCACGGGCTTCCCCACTTGTGGTGCATCTTCCAATCAGCCTCCTGAACGAAGTCATTTTAAGCAGCCGGTAGGGGGCGTGACTGGGCGCGAGTGTCATTCTCCACTATTGCGGTCCGATCTGAAACTGATTCCATATTGTGGACGGAAGGACATTGATCTCAACTCAGAACCAATACCCAGATGCTCCATCTATTGGAATATGATCATATGCCTATCATTAGGGTGTTGCCAGGGGGTCTGGCTGGGGCGGCAGACGTCGTCGACCGTGGTACTGACCCCTTGAGGTCGACCAGAAGAGTGAGTTCGTCGACTTGCCAGGTGTCCAGTGTCCATCCACCTTTAGAAGAATGTCCAGTGAAAACCCCTTGCTACTGTCACTGCATTACTTTATATATGCAACTTGTTTTGAGGTTCACAACTCAAGTAGATTGTAAACCTTGGATAATATCAATCGAGCGGCTCTGAACACCTTGATGAAATCCCATGTCGTATCGGCCTGTGCTTACGCCTGTGCTTACGCTGCCTCAACTGGTTTTTCGAATGGCTCAATTGGTTTTAAACACACTTAGACACCTTCACCAGTCTCAGCCCGGCACTCCTGACAGCTTCGGCTGCAGTAGTAGACCGCCTGACGATGGAAGGCGACATACGTGCGACATACCACAACAAACGGATCGCTTCAGGCTGGTTGGGCTATGAAGCTGTCGTCCGGACTTGCTTTGGAAAGTTGGAATGTGGATACTGAAAACAAAACTGAACTGAGAATATGGAACTGGGTGATCATAAAAAGGTGCATAGTCATGCACAGTATACATTCCAGTTGCATGGCTTGACTGGCGGGCGTTTCTTTTCGGTTCTGACGACGACGTCCACCAGACCGCTCAGCTGGGCAGATTCTCAGCACCAAAGCATGGCGACTACCAGTCCTGCGAGGGGGTCATCGGGCTCTACCAATCTTTGTGAGAAAGAACAAACTTTTGACATGCATAATTCGTCTATCGCCCTTAGTAACTTGGAAACCAGTCATGCTTTGAAGCATGGCGGCAAACTTCTTCTTCTTCGTCCCATAGGCCAGCCCAACGGCCCAGCCCAACGCCCGTTCCACGATCCGCCTTGCATCGGCCGCAGCGCTGCAAAGCCTTCTCACCTACGGCGGGTGCAGCGATGCCGGGTGTCAGGTCTCCGGTGGCGTCGGTCGTCTTCAGCGTCTGTACTTGGCTGAACAATTCGCTCCCCTTGGAAAGACGGAGCAAGATTGTTTTGGTAGCATGGAATCGTCCCATTCTTTATGGACGTCCCATTCCGATTCCTTTTCTCCTAGTAGTAGCAAGAAACGGACAGATCGTGCGTTTCTCCCGTTTCCTCCGGAATTTTTTGGGGGCTAAAGCGCCCACCTCTAAACTACCGAGTTCGATCCTGACGTTGGTCCCAACCCTATGGCTGCCGCCGTATGTTCTTTCCTCGGCGCTCCAGGACACCATCACCGCTTCTTGCCCTTCCTGGGCGTGGATGGGAGCGACAGGAAAGGTGTCATTAGTGGAAGGAACACCCACAAAAGGTCTTTATTGTGAGGATTGTCTTTCCCATGCAGGGATCAATAGACAAACATGGTCAAGATGGAGGCTTCGGCACAAAAAGAATTACTCTGGCTCAAGAAATGATCAGGTTGGCGAGGGGTATACCACTTCATGTCTATTCGCACTAGCCTTGGCTAATCTACGATCAGCTAGTAAGCCCACAAAACATCCGCTTCACTCGGTCTCCTTCAACTTGTAGGATTAAAGATCCGAGAAACACGTATTATACTCTGGGGAAATGAGATAGGAGCCCAGCAAATCCCTATGTCATCAGCCCTGAGTGTATACATTCAACAGAAATATTGAAACACTGTGAAATGAGAATGACTCACCGGCCACAAGGGTCTGGTTGTTGCCCTAAACATCTTTCTGACGCAAGCGATGTGGGCCCCCGTGATGCACAGAAGGCGAAGAAGAACACCAACGCTGCCAAACCCGGCCGATCGCCGATGGCTGCGCGCGGCCGACGTGAAATTCCAAGCGTCTTGCTCGCGGCCTTGTCACCAATTTTCAAAGCAGCCAGGAAAAGCTCCTCCCGATTGGGGGTCCGATCCGCGGGATGGGTATTGCTTGGGAAAAAGTGACCGATCAAAACGACATGCATGCCATAATTCACCCACACTTTCACTCACCTGCTGAAGAATCGTCTTCTTGACCATTTTGACGAGAGCCAAGGCGACAAAAAGAGAGCCAAAAAACGGTCACACACTTTCGGCGAGGTCGCACGTCCTCCACACCCAAATGGCGACAGCGTGCGGAGAACTCGGACATCCTAAGACGTCGAATGACAACGACCCGGTCGTTTTGTTGTTGTTTTGTTTTTGGAAACTGCAAGGTCTCACGATATCCAAATCCCCCGAAATCGGTTAGTGGCCAAGCTGAAGATAAACACTGCTATGTAATTTTAAACATCAATCACTCTCAATCAAATTGAAATTGGTAGGTCCAGCTGTTACACTTCTGCAAGAACCGACACTTCACCAGCTTCTAGCACTGCGAGATTGATATAGCCCGAGATTATTCCCAAGATTCACACACAATCATGGCCTC